TGGATTTAATGAGCTTAGGCATAGTTACGGACTTGACCTTGACACATGTTTCTCTTTATCTGGAATTTGCCACATAGGAATGAAGTAACACATCAACTTTTTGAATACACAAATATTACCAATACATGCATTAATAAACAACATATAGTTAACAGGAGCTTCAGGGCTCATCATACATAGATTTTCAAAACATGATACATAATATGGGTTCTGAAAATTGACAAAAGACATTAAAAGCCACACCCTTTAAGTTATTCCAAAACATAAGTTACGCACAGGCTGTTTCAGAAACATGCCTTATCAAAAAACTAAGAGTAGTAGATATTTCAATTCATTAGGCCCTTGAGATCAATCTTCGTTCTCCCCAGTCAGCCAATTAAAGTTCATGTTTACCACTATCTCCTGCGAAAAATACTTTTGGTTAAGCTTTTTCTTACGGGGAGAACGCCTAGGAGTAGGCGGGCTTACTGCCATCCCAAATAAGTCCTGGATGAGCTCTTCAGGCACAGGATTGGTAACAGCCATTCCAACCATCTCTACTCCAAAAGGAGTTGTTAATGGCTCAATATCTGCCATTTCAACTTCCTCTTTAACCTTAGTTCTAAATGGCTGGACATCAACCATTTCAACAACCTCTTCCTTAACATGAGGTATAAATGGTTGGTCATCCTCCATCTGAACAACTTCATGCTTAATTTCGGTTATCATCCCAAAGGAATTCAGTTCATCCATGGGATAAATATAACTTAAACACTCATCACACAGCCATGCATCATCATGAAATAGGACCTTCCTCATACAGTACCGGTGTTCTGCATTTGAGCACACTGCACACTTGATGATCAGGTGTCCCCATTCACGGCTTCCACAAACACCACAAAACAAATATGCATTTGTTGTTCCCATCTGTTAGAACCTGAAATTTCAGAAAAAAGGGATATTTAGTCTGATAAAAACTGGGTATGTATGTGTTATTTGTTATATTTTCAAACAAAGTAGTAGGTAACATTTATTTAAGTGAATGTTCCATGAAAAAAGTTTAACCAAAAGTTAGTTATCATTAGATGCACTTGTGATCAATAATAAATAGTCATAAATTTTTCTACAAAATTCACCTGATGCAGGTACACAACAAACTTCAAAGCAATACTTCTTTGGTATGGCTATCAATTGATATGCAAGGCATGACAATGTGAGAGGGTAAATGCTTTATTTATAGTAGAATCTTTACTACTCCGTATGTGTCACTATTCCAAGTAAATTGAGACCACACCCTCACATGTCAAATCTGATCTTTCCTGCTAAGACGGCTCTCTTTTTAAAAGTAAAATCACTTTTTTTAACATGTCATATCACATGTGTTGAAAGGGGTTTTCTGAGTCAAATCAAACTCAATGGCTAACACAATGTAATTATTGTACTTTTCTTATTGGCTGTCTATTTTCTCATTGGCTGTCTATTTGCACATAATCTAAAAGTATTACCAATGATATTAGAGCATGTACTTGCACATGTTCTGATTAAGTAAATAGAACCCAAAAGGTTACATGTCATGTCAGACTTCTGCAAAAACGGCTCATTTTATAATAGTGAGATCCTTTTGTTACTTGTCATATCTTTTGTCAAAAAGTCTTTTCCACATATATATTACTCCGTAAACTAAATATGGTCATTTAAAATGAATAGTATCATGTAAATCATATATTTAGGACGTAACTTCATTGAATTGGATGTATCACTGAATGCTTTTTGAGCTATTTCGATTTAATCACATTTACTATTTATTATCAGTATAAAAAGACTATGGGTTTGAATGAAGTGTACCTGGTCCTATATTAAAAAATATGCATATTATTGACATTTAACTAATATCACAAATATTATATACATTGGTCGTATATATACATTATACACTCCTAAACCATTTTAAATTGGTGTCAGTTTTTTGGATAATTAAATTTACACAAACACAGCAGGTAATGAGTACTCTTTCAGCATGCTTACTGTTTTTTCACACAACCCCATCTGGTAAAGTAAGATTATAAAAGATGACTTTTCATAATGACAACTCAAAAACTGCTTTTCCAAATCTAACCAAACAGTAAACTGAATACCTTAGCTGTATACCATTTTAAGACACGTTTGATTTTTTAGATTTTAACATATGTTTAAAATATAAAACGTAAATCCAAAATGTACTAAATATATTTCAAAAATAAATCTCTATTTTGCAAATAGAGATATATTAATAGTATTAATATTAATAATAAATTTTAAGGACTTCACTTTTTAAATTATAAATACCTAATTAAACAATGATAATAATAGTTCTTTCAATATACTTTTAATTAATAATACGGAGTATGTGAATAATAAATAATATTATTCAATAATATAAACAGAACTCTTATTTAATATTTTTTATATTAATATCCATTCAACATTAATAAAAATTAAATATTACTCTTTTATAAGGTCAATTATGAAGAAGAAAAATATAATTCTCTGGACAAATAATTAATTATTTTTAATATTTTATACATTACTAATAACATATAATATACTTATAATAAAAGAAATAATTTTTTAAATTTTTTAATAAATAAAATTTAAGTATTAATACTGTTAAATATTAATATTAATTAAGTAATAGTAGTTGACATTTTAAATTTTTATTTTTTAATAAAAATGAAAAAGACTAATTTCTTAATTTTTTACAATTAAATTAATAATTAATTAATTATTATTATACTTAAAAAAATCTTTGTACTTAAAAATTAATATTTTTTTAATATTAATTTTTTAATTTTTTATACTTAAATAATAATTAATCATTATTATTATTGTCATTATTATTAATTATTAGTTATACTCATGAGGCCAAATATGAAACATATTTGAATTTATAAAGCCTCTCCTTCATAAGGACTCGTTAAATATTAATAATCATTGAGTAATATTAATTATTATTATTATTTATTTATTCATAACTAAATATTAATAATAATCCAATATTATTAATTATTAATTATTAATACTATTAATTATTATTAATATTATCAATAACATTAATATTTAATTAATATCTAATATTATGTAATTATTATTTATTTTTTAAATATTATAAATTATTAATATTTTTATTAAATATAGTAATATTAATAATACAAATCCGCCAACTTTGTTAAAAATTAATAATAATAATTTAAATAATATTAATTACTATTAATATTTTTTTTAAAAATTAAATATTAATCATAATCCACTACAACAATTAAGCCCCTAATGTAACAGTCAAAAGTGTTACAATACCACTAAAAAGTGTTACAATATCACTAAAAAGTGTTACATTAGAGCAATTGTAACACTTTTTTACCATTACATTTGCTCATGTTGCATTAGATTCTATTGTAACACTTTATAGACCCTAATGTAACATTTATACTTCTAGAAAGTGTTACATTAGATCTAAAAAGTGTTACATTAGAGAAATATGTAACACTTTTACAAACTATTACATCATTAATGTTACGTTAGGTCTGAAAATGTAGTAGTGATCTAATTATGAAATCGTATTAGGGTTATCATGATTATACTAATAAATCCTCTCCTTCATAATAAGCCTAATTATAAAACACATTATACATTCTAAATATTATTTAAAGTTAACAAATGTCCTTCACTAAATTCAAAATAAATTTAGACTACTATGTGTGATATTTCCACATAAAGTATCTCAAACGGATAAAATTATATCTTTTATATATGTATGTATCATTATGCAATTATGCACTTTATCTACTTAAAATATATTAGTGATGGACTTAATGCATATATGGCTATGCAATGTATGCTTATACAATTGGAATTGTACTTTGTTTTATATTTTATGATATGAAGCTTAATGTATAATTTTACAGAGTATGGTTTTGAATCATCCCATCATTCATCATACCAAGGTATGAATACAATTTTGTAAATCTACTTGATGAATTTCGATAGTACAAAGGTTTGTGATGCACCCATGCATAGTTGATGAATATTGACCACAAAAATGACTTACGCAAATCCATTCTTTATTTTGTGGTATTTATTCAATGCACTTGCATTTATTGAGATGGTATATATATATATATATATATATATATATATTTTGTGGATGTCAAGAGAATAATTATATTAAAAGCATTGTGTAGCTCACTTTAACATGGACTTGAAGCTAAAAGGGCCTAATGTTTTCCTGGCAACTATTATATAACTTTTTATTTTAAATTTATAATGCTTATATTTAATCCAACTTTTCTCTATACCTTGTTGCCTACATGCAGTCATCAAATATTTTTACATGATTAGTGTAGCTAGTCATCAAGTTTGGTTTAGTTGTAATATATAAAGCCAAGGAAACAGTTCTTAGAATCTGGAAATAGAACGTAATTTACATATAATTACATTCCGAATAGGCCGGTTACATCACACTTGGCAACAAATGCCAAAAATTACAAACTTGGGATCAAAATAGATTATCTAGAAAATAACCCACTCCAAAAGTTTGTAACATAACCTAAACTTATCCCTAAGTTATTCCAGGCAGCAAACATTTTTCTGAAATGCTAATGCACTAACAGAAAAACATAGAAAATACTGCATACATGATATGCTTCATTTTAGCAAAAAGTTCTTCATTGTTCTTGAAGTTCTTCATTAGCAAAAAGTTCTTCATTGTTCAAACATCATTACTCCTTTTCCATTTTCACCTTCTTCAGCTTCTTTGGTGGCTTGACAGGCGGGGGCTCAACAAACAGCTTCCTTTTGATGCCGTCGTAGTTCACCACAAGTTCCTTCCTTTTTTCTTTTGACAGTAGGGGGCTGGTCTCCTCCTCATCAGGTATGAGGACCTGAAATCAATATCGAATTTAAATATCTAATTTTAAACACAAAGGTAAACCATACAGGTAAAATGATAAGTACACATACTTCTTCTGACACAGAAAACTCCTTTCTAAGTAGTGTGAAATCATCTTCTTCCTCAACTGCATCATCTTCTTCCTCAACTGCTTTTCCTTTATACTTGTATAAAGCGATAACAGTTGGATCACAATTCATTCCAATTACACTAAAAGTAGGAACACCCTTGTAGTATTTGTTTTCCTTCTTTGTTTGCACTCGAAACAACCCCTTAGTTTCAACCATAGCATCAATCTCGACTGGAAAATAATACGGTCCAACATTTTTCTGTACAGTCCACCATTTTTTAAACTTATTAATATATATAGATCTATTAGATATGTAAGCAATAAATACTTTATGTCTCGTCCAGAAAACCTGTTCAATCTCCTCATGAAGAGTACTTGCAGTTTTTCCAACCAAAGTAAAGCATTCTTTGTCCCAAAACACAAAAGAAGCATGACCTGTCTCATCCATCACCCTAACATTAATTTTGTACCTGAAATGTGAAAAGTTTTTTGTAAATGCTATGTGGCTGTTAGTTTAAAAAACTGAAAAAGGAAACGTTCTCACCTTAGAACTACTTCTTTGGTGTTGCACACACCACAACTGAAATTGTCACCTTCAGGACACACCTTTCTGCTGCACCCTCTGCAAGATATGTAGTACCAATCTCTGTAGCTGTCTATTGTCAATATCTCTCCATAAATCCAGTGTTTTCCATCCTATTATTATAAGTATATAGTAACTTCTAATCAGACTATAATCTATCAAATAAGGTAAGAAATTTTGTAATACAAAGTGTATGATATATAACAACCTCTTCCATTTTCATTAGATCTGCAATTGATACCAACTGAACTTTTCCAGCAGTTAGGTCATCTTGAAAAGAAGGGGTAACAAAAGTAGCTAAGGCTAGAGCATCCCCACCGTCATCATTATCTGGACCGAACCTGTTATTTAATTATAGCATAGATTAATGTCATAAATGCTTTCTGTGATAACAAAGATAACCCAAAAAAATCTTACGTGGAATTGAAAGCTGCACACTCCTCACTGTTGCTATTCAGTAACATCTTAGTCACATGGAACATGTTTGTTACCTCCACCCGACCTAAATAGATACATTGTTAAGAACAAACCAAGCGAATATCGTATTTCATTTTACAACATACCCTGGAATTTTTTAGCACGGCAACGTTGAAGAATAAGAGTGATTGACTTCGGTTTTGTTTTAAGAAAATCCATGAACTCGTCTACCATGTTCTCCCAGAGAGTGCAGGCAATCGTATTTCCACTACAAATATAAGAAGCATGTCAAAAAGGAAAATTACAGCTAACTGTTTATTTTTATATATTCATAATACGTACTTGGCATCACCGAGGGTAAGATCAAGCAACCTCGTTTGTTTACCATTCTTTGTTAGGTCCTTTGGGTCTGACATTGAAGTTACCTTGCCGATCACATCTATGAATGAATTAATGTATTAATTTATATGTGATTATAAATTAATGAATAAGTATGGTTAAACATTCAATAAAAGAAATTGTATTTTCATTTTAAAAAAATCACCTATGGCATAGGTTTCGTCTATAACTTCAGCATCTTTTAAGGCAGCTATAGATGTGAAGTCAAACATCCTCATTGGAAAATTAATGTTAGAGATTTCAAAGGCATCAGTTCTGTTGACGAATAACAACTTGAAAGCATTCCTTGTTGTCTTGAACTTCATATAGTTGTCTAGCACCAAGACTTTTCTTATTGCATAAACATTTCCTTCCCTAAACAGGTGCTCAAACTTCGCAACCTCTGATTTTGCAATGTGTGCATGTATTTTTGTTCCCTATATATAGAGTTGTAAGTAATTAGAGTAACATACTTAATGTATTAGAAACCAATCTGGACAGTTAAGTGAATACCTCAGCGTCATGGAAAATGCACTGCAAAGATTCACTGTAAATGCCATGGGCAGGGACGGTATAGACACGAACAGCTCGGGCTTTGAATGCCCAAGTAGTTTTAGATTGGTGGAACTCGCTTATTAAGGACCACATGCCAACCATTTTTATAGTGGATACAGTAGCTAGTTGGAGTGAAAGAAGAATTGAATGGTGAATATGAGTGCAAATGAGTCTATTTATAGGAGACCTTTGATGCACTGTTTATTCACATTATACACATAATATTTGTGTGTATATGTTTTCAGTAAAAAAAAATTACCACAATGAGCTGTCAAACACTCTTCATTGTAGGCCTAATAATAATATCTAGGAAATAGGTTATGTCTAAGGTTGTGTGCTGTAAAATTTAGCATTTGTTTTATAATTTTATTTTACCTCATGAAGTAATGAGAATACTTTATTGATCTCACAGGCTCAAACTTGTAATGATTCCTCGGGTGTAATGTTAGTAATATTGATATGGCCAGCCGCCCAAAAAGATATCAGCTGCCAATTTCTTTGGAAAGAAAAAGATGCCATTACAATCACAAAAAGCACCCTGACATTGTTTTCCTTTGAGCAAATTACCACCACATATCTGTTCATTGAATTGTCAATTAAGTATGTAATATCAAATCGATGTTGTTCACATTTTCCATCTTCTATTAATGTTGTGCAATCCCCCTGAGCAGGGATATTATTGTAAATTACAGTCATGCATTTTCTATCCTAAAGATTTTGGGGGGAACACTATTCCCACAAACATTTTGCTTTTATATAATGATAGATGTTGGGGTAGTAACAACTCACTTGAATAAAGTGGGTGATATTTAAATAACACAAACAAGTATAGGGTGTGGAGATCACACTTATCCAAACTTGGGAGTATTTTATTTATTTTCTCCTACTTTATAGTATCACTTTTTGTTGTTGTTTTGCTTAAATTGCCTACATCTGTAATTCTGTACCATGTAGTATGAATGTGCAACTGTTATGAATGTCCCTCTAATTTAATATTTCATTTATATAATTTATTACTTGAGATTTAATGAAAATCCTTTTTTATTACTTTTATCTTGTGAGTTTTCTTATACTTTTATGTGTATTTGCTAGATAGAGTTTGTAGTTGGTGCTGGATTTGGCCCAACCCTGGAGTCAAAAGAAAAGCTGCCAACAAAATAAGACTTGTTACTGCTTAACCTCCTGATTTGTGTAGCAAACTAAAGAATACTTGGAGTCCAAAAAAGAGAGTATTGGCTTATCCAGATCTGGCCCAACCCTGGAGTCAAAAGAGAAGTTGCCAACAAAATAAGAGTTGCTACCTCTTAATCTCCTGATTTGTGTAGCAAACTAAAGAATACTCAGACTCCAAAAAAAAGAGTATTAGCTTATCCAGAGTTGGGCATAATGTGAATCGGTCTGAGCATTACTAAATCAAAGCTCGCCCAAGCTCATCCCTCAAAACTTTCCTTTCGTTTCTTGTATTTCTCCCATTGTAGCAAACTTAAAGTGAGCTTTATGATAAATTGTAATGAGACACTTTATGTAAAAACCATTTCCGGCCGTCAATACTTGTATAAACTTGAAAGTTAGTTTTCGTGAATATGTAGTATCGTATTTGGTAATTATATCTAAAATATCCATATGAGTTGCTTACTTGCTTGGGTGTGGTATGAATGATTATTGTCTGTGTCTAGTTGAAACATTGTTTATATGTTTCTTTATTTTGTTTGTGAGAAGTTGAAGCATCGTCTATATCATTTTCTATATTGTCTGTGCATGATAAAAACATTATATGTGTTTCATTTATTTTGTCTGTGTGTAGATAATACTCCATTTATATATCTGTGTGTATGTTTATTTTGTCGGTGCGTAATTGAAAATATGTCTATGTCTTCACTTATTATATATCTGTGTGTATTAAACCATTTTATGTGTTTCCATTTATTCTATGGGTACATTTCTTTTGTTTGTGCATAGTCAGGCATCGTCTGTCTTCACTTATATTGTCTGTGAATGATTAAAGTAATGTTTGTTTATCATTTTTTGTCTGTGCATAGATAATAATTTTTTGTGTTCATTTAAATTACACCTTTTGGGGCTAAGGTCTGGATGTTATTGTTGTATTTAAACTAGAATTTCCACCCGTGCGTTGCACGGGACATAACGCACAGGACATGTGTATTTAATTAATTTTAATGAGCATTAATATATATGGATACAAAATCAATACACTACTTGTGAAGTCTTAATGATAATAATAATAATATAACACCAATACCAAATACGTTTGTAAGTAGGGTTTTAATTTATAATAATAGACCCATAAAGAATTCAAATGTGCATAATACAGAGTACCATAAAATGCAATAATATAAGTAAGAATGTTTTCTTTTGGACTAAATTTGCCAGTCTAGTCTGAACTGGTATGGTACATATCTGGTCTATGAGTATTTTATAACTACGGAAGTCTGATCCGATCTGTGATTGAAAACAGTCTAAAAAATCACCCTAAATAATATTTGTATCAATAAACACACACACACATATGGGTATGTAAGAAAATCAATGAAAAACAAATTGGAAGCAGTCTGGAACCAACAAAGCAGTGTGGAACCGGTAGATTCAATACCGACACCGATTATCGAGGAGGGAAACCAGTAGAGAATCAAATTATCCAGAAATCATAACCGGGCCAATCCATTCATATGACACATAATATAGAATGGTTGTTTGATATACAAAACTTCACAATATACTTCGTATATTAGAACAAAGAAAGTGAAACATACAATTGTATAGTTGCTGCCATTCATACGTGAGGTTGACGCTTCCTGGTCTAGTTTGTAAGAACATTTACAAAAGGCATTGTAATAACAGTTCACGAAATCTCTATAATATACTTGTAAAAGTTGGCTTAGATTGAATCTAATTATTATCCATTTGTGTTGATTAGTTATACATTGCTGATAAACTCCCTCCATGCTTCTCTATGTACGAAGGGTTACCTCTCCCAAAGCCTGCGAATTAAGAAATGTAAAGCTAGTAAATTGAATACGTTTTTCAAATTCTAGACAGTTTCAAGTTTCAACTCAAGATGGATTAGAAATGAATAATGCAGCCTGCAACAGTTCTAGGCAGCTTCAACTTAAAATGAATTGCAGCATATCATATTCTTCCTGAAAAAGTTTATGATGTAAATTATCCTAATAATATGAGAACTGCTTTCATCATCTCATTATCAATGGATTTTAATCTCAATAGTAAATATTCTCAATCTCAACTTTAAAGGTCTTTACCTATTTTACTACGAAAAAAACATCAATTGTATTGAATATGAACTCTATAACGTAGAAGCTTTCACAAATAACAAGTCATATTCAAACCCAACATTTAACTGAATTAAAGTTTTTGAAAAGAACCGCATATGTATGATGAACAATATTTATATAATATCCCAATAACATAAATATAAAATCCATGATAATAAACTAAAATAGTCAAAGAAATTAACACAAAAGGACAATGAGCACATAAATTGTGGATACGAATAGAAAAATCATTGAATCATTTCTACAAACTCCTTTTGTGCATGAAAGTGAAATATAATATTTTGAATTAAAACTTCAATAATAAGCATCACAAATTTATCACAAATCTATAACAATATACCAATGTAATCAAGCATTCAACATTTACATATATGCATAAGATCGAAATAAACAAATATAATCCTAAATGTACAATAAACACAATGAACAAGACATAAAAATACGCAGGTTGAAGTTTACATTGAAAAATGTGGCTGCTCATTGGTATATTCAAAGTAGCCATCTTTATCCCTTCCATATGCATCAGTTCAAGCCGCAAGAGCGCCATTCATTAGTCTTCAAGCTTCTGCTACCCGAGTGCACTGTTTTGTTGGCTGAGGAATGTGACAGTGAAGGCAGCAGCCGTAGATGAAGAAGAGTGATGGAAATGAACGCGGTGAGGACAGGCAACGATGGGGAAGGAGCTTTGAACGCACTGTTTTTTTTTTTTTTTTTTTTTGCTAGGTAGGATTAGAGATTTGGGGATGGGAGTGAGAGAAAGAAAAGAAACGACGATGAGAAATGGAAGAGGGAAAAAGAGAGATGCAGGGTAAGGGACGGTAAAAAAAAGGGAAAGTTCCCTAAATGGGACTAAAAAAGTTCCAAAATTCCAAAATAGGACTGTCATGTTTTTATTCCCAAAATAGAACTAATTACTGCCAAATTTGGAAAATACTGCCATGTTTGAAGTCTGGTACTGCCAAAACATGGCAGTAATTAGTCCTATTTTGGGAATAAAAACATGGAAGAATTTTCAAACTTTTTTAGTCCCATTTTGGATAATATCTCTAAAAAAAGGCCTTTATATAGGGTGTACAATGAGTGGGTACAACAAGCAATTTTGTTAAAATTAAGTCTGCCCCGTATTGACTTAAGTGTGCAACTTAAATCAAATAAAAAGGATATACACCCTCTATTTTTAAAGAAATAATGGCATGAATATTACTACCTATGTTCTTTAATATTAGTCCTCTTAGGCTTTGGCACGGGTTTTAAGAGGAAAGTAGTAGGGGTAGTGTAAAAGGTGTAATGAGTAGTGGGTAAATGAAAAAGTAGGAAAGAGAAAGGGGTAATGGTAATAAAAGTTGGGGTATAAAGGTATATTTAGAGTAAAAACTTTCCTTAAATGGAAAGGAGGACAGATAAAAAAACGTCCCAAAAAGGAAAGAAGGACTAATAAAAAAGAACGGAGGGAGTAATTCCCATCTTTAATGGGACCAAAATATGAGTGAAATTTTGTTTCCCAAAAAAGAGAGTTGGCTTCCATCGACGCTAACGGCCTGTTTGGATGGAGTGTTGAGAGGTGTTAGTAATGGAAGTGTTAGTAAGTGTTGGCAGAGGCCCGGATGGGAAGGTAAGTGTAAGTGTTAAACATAATCTTACCTTGTTTGGGAGTGTTAAAAAATTGAAGTTTTAGTAACAGA